CGCACCCCCCCACACACACACAACTTTATTTAAACATTGTGATTTACAAAGTAGCTCATGACGATGTCCCAGGTATTCAATATTCCCACCCGAATCCCACCCCCGCCCTCCACCACTGTTCCCATTTTCCCAGCTACCCCTCTCGCCTGCCACCAGAGCCGGCCCACAATCATTTATTTTATATCCATTGTTGCCAATACAGTCTAATAGAATGACCCCCCAAAAAAAAATTCCATGGAGAAAATGCGTAAAAATTGTTGCATCTCCCCATGGGGACATTAAGTCCTTGTCTGAGGGTTTACTAAGCTGTTGTGCAAGTTAAGGTCCTGTGTTAATGCTTTTGTTAGTGAGCTTGGCTGGTGTCTCCTTCACCCTCCCACCCGACCTGAGTGTTCCTACTGGGATGTCGGCGTTGTGGTTTAGAGATGTCGCTCCAGAAAAGTCCAGCAGATTCCAGGAAAGGTGTCTGAGAAGCTTCTGCAGCTAGTTGGTCTCTTTGGAGATTGATCTGAGGCTGTGGCACAAGGCTGATAGATTTGCTTCATGTGGCAGTGACGGGCCTGGGCGTGGCTGCCAGGGCTTCAGGAAGACCAGGGGGCTGGGGAGACGTCGCCCACCCCACCTCGAGAAGGCCTCACTTTGGAACTTTTTTTTTTGCTTTTTGGGTCACACCCGGCGATGCACAGGGGTTCCTCCTGGCTCTGCACTCAGGAGTTACTCCTGGCGGTGCTCAGAGGACCAGATGGGATGCTGGGAATCGAACCCGGGTCGGCCACGTGCGAGGCAAACGCCCTACCTGCTGTGCTATCTCTCCTTTGAACTTTTTATTCCAAAACCAACCATGCAGAAGAAAACCGCATGCAGGCCCTGGCTGGTGGGGTCCGAGTGTGGCACTTCTTGGCCCCTCACACAAAGCCGGCCCCGCTGACGGCTTTGAAGATGAGGGTCTTCATTGAAGAGGGCGAGAGCTGAAGAGAAAGAAGCCACAGGCCTGGGACAGGGCGATCGATCCTGACCTCAGCACTTCAGGGGTGCCGGAAGTCACCCTACTCAAGTCATCGACAAGTCTTGAGCTTCCTGCCAATGGAGCCAAGACGAAACTTGCGGGGGTGGTGTATTGGGGGGCGCTCACCCAGTGGTGCTCAGGGCTTACTCCTGGCTCTGCACTCAGGAAGCACTCCTGGCAGGGTTCAGGGGACCGTATGGGACGCCAAACACTGAACCCAGGTCAGCGGTGTGCAAGGCCAGCACCCTGCCCTCTGTACTCTCTCCAACCCACCAAAATCAATCTTGATTTTTCTTTCTTTGCCAGAGCAATAGCAGAGCAGACAGGGCGCTTGCGTTCAAGAGCCCCCCCCCCCCAGGGTTCATCTCTGGCAGCCCATACGGTCCTTGTCCTAGTCCTACCAAGAATGACCTCCGCGGGGCTGGAGCAATAGCACAGCAGGGAGGGTGCTTGCCTTGCATGCGACCAACCCAGGTTCGATTCCCAGCATCCCATATGATCCCCTGAGCACTGCTGGGGTAATTCCTGAGTGCAGAGCCAGGAGGAACCCCTGAGCACCACCGGATGAGGTACACAGACACACACACACACACACACTCTCTCTCTCTCTTCTTACGGGGCTGGAGAGAGCGCAAAGACATATCTGGGACTGGCTTGATTCCCAGCACACCTTACTGTCCCGAACCCCACCAGGAGTGACCCTAAACAGAGCCAGGAGTATGCACTGGGCAGAGCCCGGCAAGCAAAGCACACAGAAAACTTTAATTTGAAAAAAAGGGCCAAGGGGGCTGGAGCGATAGCACAGCGGGTAGGACATTTGCCTTGCACGCGGCCGATCCGGGTTCAATTCCCAGCATCCCATATGGTCCCCTGAGCACCGCCAGGAGTAACTCCTGAGTGCAAAGCCAGGAGTACCCCAAGCATTGTTGGGTCTGACCCAAATAACAAAAAAAAGGGGGGGGGGCGGGGACCAAGGAGAAGGAAGTGACAGGCCCAGGTTCGAACCACTCGGGCCTGAGTACCCCCAGCGAGGTGTCCTGGGCTCTGCATGGGGAAGCCCCATGTGCCCAGGGGTGGCCCCGAAGGAAAAATGAATTTGTTGGGGTGGGGGGGACACACCCCGCTGTGCTCAGGGTCTACTCTTGGCTCAGTGCTCTGGAGTCACTCCTGGCAGCCTGGAAAATCACACGGGGTGCTGGGAACTGAAACCAGAGCAGAGACAAGGCGAGCGCCCTGCCCGCTCTATTCTCTCTCATCAGAAAAATGAAAAAAAAAAAATTGGCTTCTGGGGTCACACCCAGCGATGCACAGGGGTTCCTCTTGGCTCTGCACTCAGGAAATCACCCCGGTGGTGCTCAGGGGACCATATGGGATGCCGGGGATCGAACCTGAACCAGCCGCATGCAAGGCAAATGCCTTGCCACCATGCTATCGCTCCAGCCCCGAAGAAAAAGGTTGAACTTATCGTAATGTCCAATGTTCCCATCAACGGCCAAGACCCAGAGACTATAAAACCCAGCTCCCAGAAGTGTGGGGCCACAAAAGCGCGCGCGCGCGCACACACACACACACACACACACACACACACACACACACAAGACATCTTATTACCTCACTTTTACTTTGGAGAACCTGATAGGCTACCGAAAGTATCCTGTCCAAACAGCAGAGTCTGGCAAATTTCCTGTGTTGTACTCAATATGCCAAATACCAGTGACAATGAGGGGTCTCATTCTCCTAACCCTGAAAGAGCCTTGAATGTGGCACTTTTTAAAATCTCAGGGGGACTGGAGCAATGGCACAGTGGGGAAGGAGTTTGCCTTGCACATGGCTGACCTGAGTTCAATTCCCAGCATCCCATATGGTCCCCTGAGCACTGCCAGGAGTAATTCCTGAGTGCAGAGCCAACAATAACCCCTGAGCATCGCTGGGTGAGACCCAAAAACCAAAAAATAAACAAATAAAAATAAAATCTCAGGGCCAGGAAGGAGACGTTACTGGTGCCTGCTCGAGGCAATCGACGAACAACAGGATGATCGTGACCGTGATCCTGAGTGCCACTTGGGCTCTCTGGGAAGTAAAAGCATGCTGGGCGCCTGTCTCGTAAAACTCACAGGTAACTCTCACCTAAGATGGCGCTCGCGGTGTTTATTACAGGTTCTTGGTTCTCAGAAATGGTTTAACACTGAGTCGGGCAACAGTGATTCTGACAAAAGCGGAAACACTCAGCGTATGTATTTCAAGTTGAGTATCGAGCTGGCAGTACATGAAGAATTTATTTACCTGCAGGTGAAATGGTTCACAACAGACCTGGAGCGACAGCACAGCAGGGAGGGCGTTTGCCTCGCACGCGGCCAACCGGGGTTCTCTCCCCAGCATCCCCCGAACCCCCAAGCACCGCCAGGAGTGATTCCCGAGTGCAGAGCCAGGAGTAATCCAGCTGCGACCCAAAATGCAAAAAAAAAAGCTAAAAAAAAAGTTAACACACTGCAACATTTTAAAGATTTTTTTATTTTGCTTTTTGGATCCCACCCGGCAATGCACACTGGCTCTGCACTCAGGAGTTACTCCTGGCGGTCTCAGGGGACCATATGGGATGCTGGGAATCGAACCCGGGTCGGCCGCGTGCAAGGCAAACGCCCTCCCCGCTGTGCTATTGCTCCAGCCCCAACATTTTAAAAGATTTTTTTGGCTTGGGGGCCAGAGCGGTAGTGCAGCAGGTATAGGGCTCTTGCCTTGCACTTAGCAGACCCGGGTTTGATTCCCTGCATCCCACTTGGTCCCCTCCGAGCATGGGACCAGAAGTCTGAGCATCCCTGGGTGTGGCCCAAAAACAAAAATAAAAAGTAAGAGACTTTTCTCCTTTGGGGCCACATCCAACGGTGCTCTGGGACTACTCCCAATTCAGTGCTCACGGGACAATGCAGTGACCGGGATTGAACTGGAACCTTCCATACGCAAACCAGCACTCCGTCCTTTCGCGCTATCTCCCCAGCCCCCATTTTTCTTTCATTTTAAGAAAATGGACGTCCTGGGAAGCTAGCTGGAGCACATCAGGAACGCGAGAGAAAGAAGAGGCACAAGGAACACCCAAGGAACAGGCGGGAATCATTTTATTTCCACGGTGACAGCACCGCACGAGGAAGCCCCGGTCCCACCGCACAAACGTCCGCCTGGTGTGTGCGTGCGGCTTAGACGCGACATCTCAGGGAAGCTCAGGAAGCCGAACACGGCGCCCAGCCTCAGCCCCGCAAGGCTGTGCCCGTCACACAGCAGCAAAGCACAGTTTCTTTCGAGATCAATTCAGATGAAAGACAAAACTCCTCATTTATCCCTGACCTGCACCCGTCAGACTCAGCACGCTTGCTCTCTTCCAGAAGGTAACGGTTAACGGCTGGCTCGTTACAGAACTGGGAGAAGACAGGCCTTCGACAGCGTGGGACACTCTCATCCCACCGACTCTGGCCGGAGGGGTCGCCTCGGGGCACCGGCTCCGGGCCCAGTGCTCTGGCCACTCTGCCAACCTGGGGCCAGGCCGACACATCAACCCCGTTCCTTCTAATTCGCGGCAGTGCTGAGACCTGGATTTTAAAAACTGCCTGGAAACATTCCAGAATGTTTTCTCTTCCTCTGGCAGCAAACGGGCATCTACGACTCTGCTTCATTTCTGAGCCACACCCGGCGATGGTCAGGGTTTCCTCCTGGCTCTGCACTTGGGGGGTCCCTCCCAGAGGGGCTTAGGGGGCGACAGGTGGGTGCGAGGGCAGAACCCGGGTCGCCCGACCCCGGTGTGTGTTATCTCTGCTGTAGAAAATACCTCCTCACCCACCCACCCCCAGATTCAGTTCCCCTGGGCAGCCCCTCGCCTGCTTCCTATATTGCAACGTTGCTTTTAGAAACATGAAAATAAGAAAGAAATCAGAGGGAAACACAGCCATCGCCAGCCCCGGAGAGAAACGGGGGGAGGAGACGCTCCCTCCTGGCTCCCCCCCACCCCCCGCCCGGCCCCCCGGTGGGGGGGCTCACGAGCTGTAGTACTTGAGGAGATCCTCGTCCGTGGGCTTCAGGATCTTCTTCTCGGCCATGTTCACCACCCAGCCGGGGGCCAGGCCGAAGAAGATCTGCCTGGGGTCCTTGCGCGTGCTGAGCATCTTGAAGAGCTCGTCCCTGGTGATGTCGGGGAGGACGTAGCCGTACTTCCTGGCCAGCTCCAGCCTGGCCTCGGGGAAGCCCGCGGGGTCGGCCAGGTAGCCGCGGTGCCTGGCGTCCGTGTAGTAGGGGACCAGGGCCTCGGGGGGCAGCAGGCGCTTGGGGATGGGCTGTCCGCGCAGGAAGAAGGGCACCGGCTTGCACAGGATCTCTGCAACGGCAGGAAGCGGTTGGCACGAGGAGATGCCATGCTGGCGTCACGACTGTCGTGGCGAGTGATACTTGAACGTGGCCGAGACCAGCACCCAGTCCCAGCTCTCTTTGGGGGCCAGTACCGTTTCCCTCGGTTCTGGGTCGGTGGCCCAGCACCCAGCGGCCCAGCATCCGGTGGCGTCCAGGCACCGTGGGGGCGAGTCCTGGGTGCCCCCGCCCCCCGGGGAAGCACTGCGTTCCCAGCACCTCCCAGCACGCGGCACCCCCTCCCCCGAGCACCGAGGGCTGAGGGCCCAGCATGAAACTAATATCCAAGGCCAGGGAAAATGGGCCAGGAGCACTGGTCAGTGGCGAGTCGATGGTGTGGGGGGAGGAGGGCAGTTCAGCTAGAGGAGGGTCCGTTACGGCACGTTAGTTGGAAATCATCAGTCTGGACAAGGGCTGAGGGGTGAAAAGGAGGTGAAGGGAGATGCATGGGGGAAGGGGGGAGCAGGGGAGAGAGAGAGAGAAAGAGAGAGAAAAAAAGCACCTGCCATAGAGGCAGGCAGGGGGTGGGGGGAGGTGATGGGAGGGACCCTGGGGACCCTGGTGGAGGGACGGGTGTTGGAACCCAGTAGGACTGAAACGCAATCAGGAACAATTTTGTAATGCTCTCTAAAATAAATAAATAAATACTGTTTTTTTCAGGGGCCAGGTGGGCCCGCACAGTGGACAGGGGCTGGCCTAGCGCAATCTGAACTGGGTTCGAGCCCTGGTACCCCAGGAGGTCCCCGAGGCCCACCGGGAGTCAGCCCCGAGCAGGGCCAGGCGTGACCCAAACACAAGCAAAAAGGAAGGCACGAGAGGACAGCAGGGGGGCGGCCACCTCGCCCGCCACTGACCTGGGCAGGACCCCGGCACCCCACAAGGTTCCCGGAGCCGCCAGGGGTGACCCTTCGCGTAGAAGTCAAACGAAGCACCCAGCCCCGGCTGGTGGAGCTCCCCTTGTGCCCCCCTGCACACCAAGCACCCAGAGGCCCGACGTGGGCGCGGGCGCAGCTCACCCAGACTCCGGGGGTCATAGAAGGCCGTGGTGATGACGCCCCCGTTCTTCTCGACCGCAGCAATGGCGAGCTCCGACGCCAACTGCACCTCAATGTTGACCTTGGCCTTGAAGGTGTCCGCGCCCTGGAGGAGCACACGGCCGGGGCTGTGAGTGTCCACTCGCCAGGACAGCCGCTGCCCTGCCCCGCCCTGCCCGTGTCCCGGCCAGAGGATCCCGGACAGCCCGTCCTTCCACTGGCCGTCCCCAGAGGCGCCCAGTGTCCCTTCCCGGGAGGCCGGAAGGATGTTTCCCTCCTGCCCACTTCGCAGGGAGAGTCCTGGTGCCAGCACAGCAGTGAGGCCACAACGAAACACACAGAACTGAACAGAACCGAATTACGGTTCTGTTTGGGCTCACTGTGGCCAAGGGACACTCGATTCGACTCTCACTTCAAAACAGACACTCACTGGGGCTGGAGCAATAGCACAACGGGTTCGATTCCCAGCATCCCATAGGGTGCCCTGAGCACCGCCAGGGGTGATTCCTGAGTGCAGAGCCAGGAGGAACCCCTGAGCATCACTGGGTGTGACCCAAAAAGCGAAACAAAAAAACGAAACAAAACCAAAAAAACAGATGCTCACTGTCTCCGCAAGGATCAAGAGGTGTCGTGGGGCTGAAGAGACGGAACAGTGGGTCGGTGCCTGCCTTGCACGGGACTGACCCGAGCTCACCCCTAAGCCTGACCAGGAGGGAGCCCCGAGCACCCCCGCTTCTGGCCCCAAAATAAAAAGGAGTTCCTACTTTCATGCAGTTGATACAAACTAGCTCCCCGTCAATTCTGTTAACTACAAATTTTTAACTTTTGAAAATCAATTCCAAGACATGGTTTTCGTCTACAATGTTGGTGCCCTGGGGTTACTTCTGCCTCTGCACTCCACGGTCAACCCTCGTGGGCTCAGGGACCGTACAGGATACCGGGGACTCGGCCCGGGTGGGCTGTGTGCAAGGCAAGTGACCTCAGGAAAAACACTTGAGCCTCTGGGACCGGGTGATAGTACAGCGGGGAACACGGCCGGCCCGTGTGCGATGCCCGGAATCCCAGATGGTCTCCCAAGCCCACAGCAGTGATTCCTGAGTACAGAGCCAGGAGGAACCCCCAGCATCGCTGGGCGTGGCCCAAAGACACAAGAAAAAGCTTTTCGGTAAACACATGCTTCCCCCTAGTGGCTGCTGAATTACTTACACGGGGATACTCCTGACATGCAAGGAGCACAAACTTCACAACGCACAAGCTCACACTGGCTTATGAAATTCCTAGCAAACATCCAATTCTTCTAAAGAGAAAACCTCTTGGGTACCGAGTGGTAGTCCAGCGGGTAGGGTGCTTGCCTTATACACGGGTGATCCGGGTTTGATTCCCAGCATCCCAGATGGCCCCCTGAGCCATGCTAGGGATGACCCGAGCACCAAGCCTGGAATCTGAGCACTGCTGGGTGTGAGCCAGAACCAAAGAGGGGGGGGAGGTGTGGGGGGAATTTAACTAAATAGAAACCCACTTTTCTGCAGCTCAAGCAGGGTGAGATTCATTCTCCCGTCCATCCATACTGAGTCACAGGGGCCTGGAGAGCAACGCCAACTGCTGGCCCACTCGGAGCCCAGCCTCCGCTCTGCACGGCGCCAAAGCACCCTGGGTGGCCCAGACAAGGGCCGGCGGCACGAGGGCCCAGGTACTTCGAGTCTAGACCATCACCAGGGACCGACAGAACACGCACAAGGGGCCAGAGCGACAGCATAATGGGGAGGGCGTTCGCCTTGCACACGGCCGACCCGGGTTCGATTTCCAGTATCCTATATGGTCCCCCCAAGCACCACCAGGAGTCATTCCTGAGTGCAGAGACAAGAGTAACCCCTGAGCACCTCCAGGTACAGCCCCCCCGAAACAAAAAAACAAAAACAAAAATAAGAAATGAGGGGCTGGAGCAATAGCACAGCGGGGAGGGCATTTGCCTTTCAAGCAGCCGACCCAGGTTCAATTCCCAGCATCCCCTATGGTCCCCCGAGCACGGCCAGGAGTAATTCCTGAGTGCATGAGCCTCTAGTAGCCCCTGAGCATCACCAGGTGTGACCCCAAAAGCAAAAATAAATAAATAAATAAATAAGAAATGAACACACAGATGTTCCTGGACCTGGGCAGGCCCCAGGAGAGAGGGAGGGGCCGGCAGAGCTGGCAGGGGCCTCACTGTCCCCCACCCCCGCCAGGAACGGCCCATGCAGGCCAGTGGAGCCCACAACGGCCCCACCATGCTAAGCCCCCAGAGGTGCACACCAGCCACCAAGGCAGGGAGAGCCTGACCCTGAGGCCTCTGAGCCTGAGGGCCCGGGAGAGCCAGTCTCAGCACTGTCCACTGCCCCACCCGGCCACACGGGGAGGACATGCTACACCCGTGAGAGGGCACACAACCCTGGGGGCCAGGAAGGGCCCGTGCCCTGGACACCAGGCGCCCTCCCGGTTCCCAGGCAGCCACGTCCCCCAGGGAGGGTGGGGACCCACGGCCCCGGGCCAGCAGGCCGCAGGCACCGAGTCAACTAGGGGCGGAGGGAGTCACGGCTACTGCCTCACACGCAGCCCGCCCTGGTTTGGTCCCCGCCACCTGTCCCACCAGCAATGACCCCTGAACACTGCTGGGTGTGACCCAAAGACACACCCACACACACACACACACACACCCACAGCCACGCTCACCTCCTCGACCAGCTGCACGCCATAGTCCCTCTTGAAGGGCTGGATGGTGACGCCTCTGCCGTTCACCAGCTGGGTCAGGTCGATGGGCTGAGAGGGGTCGACCCGGCCCAGGTCGATGAGGTACTGCAGCCTGCTCAGACTCAGGGGCTGGTACTGGCGCCGGAAGCTACAGGAGAGAGGGCACGGCTCAACTCGCGTCTCCTCCGGCCGGTGACTCCAGATGGGCGAGAGGGCACAAAACACAGCGCTCCGGGAAGCAAGGAAAGCTGGCCTGGGCAGCTGGGGATGGGGCCTGGGGCCCTGGGAGACCCCCCACAGGCACGGCGACCCCGGTCTGATCCGCAGCATCACGCCCCCTCCATCCCCGGCTCCGACACACTACACAGTGTAGCCCCCATGGCAAAAAAATATCAAAGACCCTGCCTCAGGGCTGGAGCGACAGCACAGCCTTCCCTGGGTTCGAGTCCCAGCATCCCATAGGGTCCCCCGAGCACCGCCAGGAGTAATTCCTGAGTGCAGAGCCAGGAGGAAGCCCTGAGCATCGCCGGGTGTGACCCAAAAAGAAAAACAAGAACCTGCCTCTCGAAACACACATTTCACGTAAGTCAACGGATCAACACGTGGAAACGGTACCCCACAATCTGACGGGGACTCGCCACCTCTCAGTTAACTGTAAGGGAGCTGATTTCTTTGCTACAGGCGGGCAGACAGGGCATCTTCCATCCGACTGGCCTGCAGGCAGGCAAGGTTTCTTGACCAAAACGGGCTCACAAGTTTGCTCCGCAGTGAATTGAAAAGCTGGGGATAGTGGGGGTTAAGGTGCTTGCCGGGAGGCCAGAGAGATAGTACATCAGATAAGGTGTTTGCCTGGCACACATCCGACCCGGGTTCGATTCCCAGCATCCCATATGGTCCCCCGAGCACTGCCAGGAGTAATTCCTGAGTGCAGAGCCAGGAGGAAGCCCTGAGCATCGCTGGGTGTGACCCAAAAAGCAAAAAAAGAAACCAAGAAAAAAAGGTACTTGCCTGGCGTGCAGCGCACCCGGGATAGAACCCTGGCACCATGTAAGGTCCCCTCAAGGGACCCCCGAGCACAGAGCCAGAAGTACCCCCACTCCCTCCCCCCAGGAGTGGCCCCCAAGTAAAAGAAATGCCCTTACCTGTGGCCTTCATTGAACCCGTACTTGGGGATCCGGATGTAGAAGGGCGTCTGTCCTCCCTCGAAGCCCAGCCGGGGCCGGGTGCCCCTCTGCCGCTCCCCCTTATGGCCGCGCCCACACTTGCGGCCTCGCCTCCGGCCGCGGGGGCGCCGGGCCTGGAAGAACCCAAAGCTGCTTTTCCAAGTTCCCCTTGGCCTTTTGGGTTGCCTCCGGGACGCACCCCTCCTCCCAGGAGCCTGTCGCAGGAGACCCTGGCTCAACCTGCCCTAACTCTTAAACTGCATCCGGGCCTGAGTTGGCCGCATGCTGCACTGCAAGAGTCGAGGATGTCGATTCCGTGCAAGCCTGGATATGAAGAAACCCTGGACCTACACGCCTAAGTACCGGAGAAAACGCCTGCCCGACAGTCAAGGAATTTTACTCGGACCCTGTCACAGTGACCCTGGTGGCCTTTACTCAAAGGACAACTCAAGATTTTTCTCCGTGTGCTTCCTGGTGCCTCCCACAATCACAGCACGGCAACAGCTCGCAGCTGGATGCAGGGTCTGCAACAGTCACCCAAAAGGCAGAGCAACTCTTTCCTTTATAAAAGGGGGGTGGGGGGAGCATTGTACCCAGCTGTGGGTTTCCGGTTACAGAGACCACTCCCGAAAGTGAGAATGCAAAAGCAAAGGAGCCTTCATTGCTAGTTCGGGCTAGGGTCCGAGCCTCATCCAGTCTTGACCAGGAAGGACCCTGACTCTAGTTCAGGGGACATTGTATCACATGTCGTTACATAAACACACGTGTTGGATTTCCCAAGAATGGCAACGAAGCAGTCACAAGTCTGTGGACTAACGGGTCGTGCCCACGTGCCGTGCCCAGAGATACCCTCCACATCACAGGGCTGGTTTCGGGCACCTAGGGGATTTCCAGCTTGGGCCAAGGACAGTGTCAGGAAATTCTCTGGGGGGGGAACAGAAACTCGGCCGACTGCGGGTTTTGCTTAAGTGCAGCCTGTCACTCAGCAGATGAGGTTCTGCCTCACAAAAGCTCTTCCTTTTAAATGCAAACTTGAGTGTCACCTGGTGCAACCCCGCCCTAGTGAGCACACTCTGCTCTAGCCGGGTGGTATTCTGCTCTAGCTAGGCAGCATTCTCCTCTAGCTGGGTCACATTCTCCTCTAGCTAGGTTGCATTGTCTCTTCTAGCCCGGTTGCATTCTCCTCTAGGTAGTTTGCATTCTGCTCTAGCTAGGTTGCAGTCTCCTCTAGCTACGTTGCATTCTCTCCTCTGGCTGGGTCACATTCTCCTCTAGCTAGGTTGCATTCTCTCTTCTAGCCCGGTTGCATTCTCCTCTAGCTAGTTTGCATTCTGCTCTAGCTAGGTTGCAGTCTCCTCTAGCTACGTTGCATTCTCCCCTCTAGCTGGGTCACCTTCTCCTCTAGCTGGGTCGCATTCTGCTCTAGCCGAATTGCATTCTACTCCAGGCAGTTTGCATTCTGCTCTAGCTACGTTGCATTCTCTCCTCTAGCCGGGTTGCATTCTGCTCTAGGTAGTTTGCATTCTGCTCTAGCTACGTTGCATTCTCTCCTCTAGCTAGGTCGCACTCTGCCCTGGCCGGGTTGCAAGGAAGCGCCTGCAACGCCGGGCGCCTCGGGACCCCGCACCCACAGCCCCCTGCAGAGGGGCGCGCCCTGCGCGGCCAGTTACCGGCTTCCGGGAGCCTGGGTTCGGCTGGAGGTTGGCGAGGCTGACGCGGGGCAGCGCCCGGAGCAGGTCCAGGGCCCCGGGGCCGCGGCCGCGCAGGTACCCGGCCATGCTGCGCCCGGGTGCCCGGCAAGGGCGCCCACGTGACCCGGGCGCGCTTGACGGCCGACGCCCCGCCCCTGTCGTGCCGCCGTGCCCGGGCAGCCCTCGGGGTCTGGGCGCTGCTTGACGGCCGACGCCCCGCCCCTGTCGTGCCTCCGCGCCCGCCCGCCTAGGCCGACTCGTGGGCCGGGTGCTACTTTACGGCCGGGGCCCCGCCCCCTGTCGTGCCACCGCGCCCGCTCATCTCGGCCGCCCTCGCGAGCTGGGCGCTACTTTACGGCCGAAGCCCCGCCCCCGTCGTGCCGCCGCACCCGCCCTCGGGAGCTGGGGCGCGCTTTACGGCCGAGGCCCCGTCCCCGTCGTGCGCCGCTGCGCGTCAATCTCCGCTCTGCAGAGTCCGGACGCACGTGGTCCGCCCCCTCCTCCCCCTGGAGCGTCGTGGGCTGCCCTGAGTTGCGGCTCCTGGGCCCGGCCTGTGCTTGCTGTGCAGGCAGCGCCCCCAGCCGGGGCCAGGAGCATCCGGGAGGGTCCCCAGCAGCCCCGGGATGATTCCGGTGCAGAGCTGAGAGCAACCCCTGAGCAGCCCCCCAAATAATAATAGTAATAGAAGCAATAGGATAGTAACCCTAACCCTAATCCATAGTAATCAAATATATATATGCATGCCTCTTGGATATATATATAAAATATAAAATATATATTATATATTATATATATTATATTATATATAAAATATATATATGCATGCCTCTTAGCCCTTGGATATATATAAAATATATAATGTACATAATATTAATATACATAAAAACATATTTTTATAAAATCCAGATCCCGGACGAGAACAGTGCAGTCTTCTGCCCCCGCGCCTGGGTGTTCCTTCCCGGAGCCCCTTGGAGGGGAGCGGGTTGAGCTTTCCTCCCCGCCCCGACCAGGGCTCCGGCAGCCGAAGACCTCCAGGACCAGCCACCACCATGCTGAGACCACTCTCTGCACACATGAAGGTACTGGCAGAGGGACAAAGCCACGCGGGTTCCGGGGCCGAGATCTCCAAGCCTACTCGGATTGGAGTCGAGCATCCTCCACCCAGATCCTCCAAATTCCAGCAGGCGGGGGTCACACCCACCACCTGGCCCCCTGGCGCCTTGTAATCCCATCAGCGGCCAAGACTCAGAGACTATAAAAGCCAGATCCCGGACGAGAACAGTGCAGTCTCTGCCCCCGCGACTGGGTGTTCCTTCCCGGAGTCCCTTGGAGGGGAGCGGGTTGAGCTTTCCTCCCCGCCCTGACCAGGGCTACGGCAGCCGAAGACCTCCAGGACCAGCCACCACCATGCTGAGACCACTCTCCGCACACATGAAGGTACTGGCAGAGGAACCAAGGCAAGCGGGTTCCGGGGCCGAGATCTCCAAGCCTACTCGGATTGGAGTCGAGCATCCTCCACCCAGATCCTCCAAATTCCAGTAGGCGGGGGGTCACACCCACCACCTGGCCCCCTGGCGCCGTGTAATCCCATCAGCGGCCAAGACTCAGAGACTATAAAATCCAGATCCCGGAACCGCGCGGCCACATTCACGGCCGCACATCTTATCAGGACATCTTTTTTATGACATCTTATTATCTCATTCCTACTTTGGACAAACTTGCAGGCTATCGAATGTAGCCTGCCCACAGGGCAGAGTCTGGCAAACTCCCCGTGGCGTACCAAATATGCCAAATACCAGTAACAATGATGGGTCTCATTCTCCTAAAGAGCCTTGAATATAATCTCAGGGCTAGGATGAAAGAGACGTTACTGAGGCCTGCTCGAGGCAATCGACGAATATTTTTATATGTATAGAATATATATATAATGCATGCTCTTGGAGAGCAAGCTGCCAAGAGCATCCCACCTGCATGGCAAAGCCTGGCAAGCTCCCTGGGGCGTATTCAATATGCCAAAAGCAGTAACAATAACCGGTCTCATTCCCCTGACCCTGAAAGAGCCTCCAATACGGCGGCGTTGGGAAGGACGAGTAACGACAGGCTGCTAAAATCTCAGGGCTGGGACCAATGGAGCCGTTACTGGCCCCTGCTCTAGTAAATCGATGAATAATGGGATGACGGTGATGAGAATCCACAGGCACTCACGCAGTCCACAGCTCATACAGTACTCAGGGCGCGTGCAATACGGAGGAACTCGTACCCAGGACTCAGTGCAGAGGAGCTCACCAGCACAGCTCGAAAGAGCTGGCAGGGCACATCAGAGCCCGCGCAGTACATTTCGCCAACAGGAGGTTGCGCAAGGTGGGAATGCCCGTGACTTGGCCAAGTTCCCGGAGGTGGAAGGCCAGGGTTCACATTTACACTACTTCCTCTTAATCAATGTATTTCGTAATACAAATATGAATATGTGGCTCGCTGAAGAGCCCAGTCCAGTTCTCACGTCCTCTGTCCTCTCCTCAGACTCCCTAACACATCATGTTATTTTAGGAGTATCAGCTTGGAGAGAACGTAGGAGTTGAGGTGCTTTGCTTGTACGTGGCAAACCCAGGTTCCATCCTGGCACCCTAGATGGTTCCCAGCCCCACCAGGAGTGATCCCTGAGCACAGAGCCAGGAGTAGGCCCTGAGCTCAGCTGGGTGTGGGCTCCAAACCAACAAATAATCAGCAGGTTGGCCATGTGGCTCCGTGGTAGAGCACTCACTTTGCAGGTGCGTAACTCTGAGTTTGACCCCCCCCCCGCCCCAGCATTGCAATAACTAAACAAGCTTTATTTTTGCACTGAAGTTTTTCTTTTAGTATGGGAGACTGTATACCCTTCTTCCTCTTTTAAAATGTCTTTATTAGGTGATACATATATACAAGCAAAATAAATGTACAGGAATGCTTTAATTTAGAGCAGAGGATAACACATAAGTTATTGCTTTAGCATATCTGTTTACTTCAGTATAAAAATGTATAATATAATGGAGATTTGTATTTTATAAATCTGGATTTATAAATTTCAGTGGCATATTAGGCAGATTATGAATAGAAAACCAAAGAAATTTGTGAAACAGATTAAGAAAAGACCACATCTGTTGATCTGTCAATTTGAACATCAGATACTTACTGTTAAATTAAAAAAAATTGTACTTTAAAAAAAAATAAAATCAAATAAAATGTCTTTATTAGACTTTACTGTCTTGCTCGGGAGTTGCCCCATCTGGTCACTCTTAGTGAACCACAATAACAGATGAGAAATGAAACTCTGGAGGGTAGCCACAAATTACAAAACAGCAACAACAAATTTGTTAATGGAGGGGTAGTACTGTGGTTTGCCATACTGGTTTTTGTTTTGTTTCGGAGTCACACCAGCGGGGCTCGGTGGTTATTCCTGGCTCTGCACTCAGCCTGGTTATTGGCACCACACACTGTGACGATTTCTTGTCTTGGGATGAGAGCAGAAACAAGCGGTGTGGGAGGGAGTGTTGGTGGGGTGGAAAGGGAGCTGTTTCCCCTCGGGTCGGAATGCCCACTGCTTCCACCCCTCTGGGACACTTCTCAAAAAGCTGATGATGACGCTTCCGTGGAGCCAGCAATTCCGTATCTTGGCCTCTGTCCTAAGGACACAAAAATGTTGTTTTGAGAGGATATTTGTGTTCTTTTATGCTGACTGGAGCTCCGTTCCCAATGGCTAAGATCTGGGAATGATCCAAGTGCCCAATAGCAAATGGCTGGGTAAAGAAACTGATATATAAAGAAATGCTTTTCGGTTATAATAAAAGATGAAATCATGCCATTTGCTGCTCTGTGGATGGACCCAGAGAGTGTCATGCTAAGTGAAGTCAGCCAGGAGGAGAGTTAGAGAATGACGTCTCGTAGGTGGGGTTGAGGTTGAGTAAGAGAATAACAAAAGCCCAAAGGCAACAGACGCTGAGAACTGGGTTACAAAACTGGGCTCAGCAGAGCAGGGCAAGGTAGAGAGTTTGGGGCAGAACTCTGCATGCATGAAACCCTGCCATGAAGGGTACCGTATATCACCTAGACGTCAGTGTTGAAAAAGAAAAACCTACTTTTTAGGGGCTGGAGAAGTATAGGAGGTAAGACCTTGTTTTCGTCCCACCGGCCATAAACAGAATCCCATGGCACCACAGTTGGCTCCCTGAGCTCTGCCAGGTCTCACCACTGAGCACACATCCAGCCCCCAGACCTCCCAACCTGCCACCCGACACACAAAACGCCTCAAGGGAAGGAGATTTATGGGGATCCTCATTTCTTTTTCTTTTTGGATGGGGTACGGGTTTGGGCCACACCCGATGACGCTCTGGGGTTACTCCTGGCTCTGCACTCAGGGTTTAGTCTTGGCGGTGCTTGGGAGACCATTGGGATGCCGGGGATCGAACCCAGATTGTCTGCATGCAAGACAAACGTCCTCCCCGCTGTACTATCGCACTGGCCCTGGTGATCCTCATTTCTTAGAACTCTCTGGCCTTAAAGAACGCTCCAAGCACCAAATAAAGGGTGTTGGGAGGATCCTCCCAGGATGGGAGATGCATGCTGAAAGTAGACTACAGACAGAATATGACTGCCACTCAATGCCTCTTTTGCAAACCACAACACCCAAAAGGAGAGAGAGAACAAAAGGGAATGCCCTGCCACAGAGGCATGGGGGGAATGGGGGGATGGGGGGTGGGAGGGATACTGGGATCCGTAGTGGTGGAGAATGGGCACTGATGGAGGGATGGGTACTCAATCATTGTATAATTGAAACCCAAGCACAAAAATTTGTAAGTCTACAACTGTGCCTCATTGTGGCTCACTAATAAAAATTAAAAAAAAAAAAAGAATGCTCCAAGACCTCTTTCTGCAGCCCTAAGTCCTGAAAGCGTCCTTTGAAAAATGAGTTATCACATTCTGATCCTCTTCCCTGTTACATGTGTTAAGGTCGACACCTCCAATGATTCCACTTCTTTCTTTTTGAGGGGTGGGGGTACGACTGGCGGCAGAAGGCAACCCCTTCGTGCTCAGGGTCACCCCTGGGTCACAGGTGATGCCTGCATGCCAGGCAAGAACGGCTTCCTGGACTATCTCTGGCCCTATTCATTTTTCTTCCCCTA